CCTGGGTGCTGGATTAGAAGTGAAATCAATGAAGGGCCAGCGGTAATGTGGTGATTGCTAGTAGTAAATCACAAAGCTGCAGTTTTGTGTTTTTTCCCCCCAAATTTATTTATTTATTATTATTATTTTCATGAACTGCAGTTTGAATGAGAGAGTTAAGGTTTTGTACCTGGGACTGCTGAGTTAGAACAGGATTTTGAACTCTGAACTGTGGCATAGGCCTGCACATATGCTTTCTATGGAGGTAGCTTTTGCATGCATTTTTCCTTGGATGAAACCTTATTTAACAAATAAAGAAACCGAGGCTTACTGATTTGACATAACCATAAAGAACCTCCCCCCCCCCATAAAACTGCCCCAGGGAATTCCTGTTACTTTACTCTTTGCTTCTCCTTGCCCTGTGGAAGGTAACCACCATTAGAATTTTCAGGCGCCAGCCCTAATCAGTTTGGCTCAGTGGATAGAGCATTGGCCTGTGGACTGAAGGGTCCCAGGTTTGATTATGGTCAAGGGCATGTACCTTGGTTGCAGGCTCGATCCCCAGTAGGGGGCATGTTGGAGGCAGCTGGTCAATGTTTCTAACTCTCTATCCCTCTTCCTTCCTCTCTGTAAAATCAATCAATAAATAAAAATTTAAAAAAAAAGAATTTTCAGGCGCCAGCCTGGTTGGCTAACCTAATGGAGTAAAATAGTTCCAGCTCCAAGTAATGGTGAACTTGGAGGAGGGCCCAGTGTAACCAAGTCCCTGGAATAAAAATTTGATGTTGGTCTTTATTCATTTCAAAGAAGAATGTGGGTGGAAATATGATATATTCCAAGCAAAAAAATAAATAAATAAAAATAGTGGCTCTAGGGATTTATGCCATTGCCTTGAAGATTGTTTGGTTCTGCATTAATTTTAGATAATTCAGTAAGAGGAAAGTTTTCCTTAGTAGACGGTATTTTTAGCCAGAAATGTATAACTTGAGTCTACTCATGAGGACACATCAGACAGACCCTAAAAGCACATTCTATTTTTTTAAGTTTATTATTATTAAAGAAGTAGTCTGTCTTTTTAAAAATAAAGTCAGTGTCAAGAAAGACAAAAGCTGTGGAAATGTTCCAGATCCAAGGAGACTGCAGAGACTTAACAGCTAAATACAAAGCCTGATCCTAGACTGGATTCTGTATTAGAAGGGAAAAAGTGCTGTGATTGACAAAATTAGGATGTGGATGGCAAATCATAGCTAAAAGTATCAATGTTAAATCTATTGAAGATTAAAATTATATGGCTGTTATGTTTTTAAAAACTATGGTTTTGTAGGAAATATATATTGAAGTATGTAGAGGTAAAGGGCCATAACATACACAATGCAATTTAAAGTAGTCTAGAAAAAAAAGGGAAAAAGAGAACGAAAATGATAAAAAAAAATAGTGTAAAATTTTGACAATAGGCAAATACGAATAAAGGATACTATTTTTAGTCTTAATCTTTTTTTGTGAGTTTAAAATTATAAGTATATTATTGCTATTATAACAAATGACCACAAACTTTGTGGTTTAAAACTACACAGATTTATTATCTTACTACCTGAAAAAAGGAACCTCTAGAACTTTTCTTTCCTTACCTTACCCTTTGGGAGCCTACCACTTTTGTCAACTTGAGTTCACTTGCAATACTGCACAACAAAACAACACAAAAGAGCAGGCAAAGGAATAGATCGGATATCTAAACGCCACATAATCTGTAGTCTTTTGGGGAACCCGAGTCTTAAGAATTCAAATAGTCTTTGTATTGGAGATTATATAATTTGTATGTAACCCTTTCTGTGGACAGAGCTAGAAAATGTATATATACACATATATACACACTTACATGTTTGTGCATACACAGTTGTCCCTCTGTATCTGCAGGACCCCCTGCAGATACCAAAATCCCTAGTCCCTTATATAAATTGGCATAGAATTAGCATGTAACCTGTATGCATACAGGCTACAGCAGGGTATGTCTACACATCACTTCATTTGTGTGGAGTCAGCCTAGTCCTTGGCATGTGACAAATTTAAGTTTTGATTTTTGGAACTTTCTGAAAAATTTCCCCCCAAATAATTTTGATCTGCAGTTGATTGAATCTGTACTTGTGACACAGTGGATACAGAGAACCAACGGTATCTATTTTAGAAATCAAGAGTTCACAAAGATATTGATTGCCCTCCATCCCTACAGGGTTCTTTCTTTCCCTCTGCATTCCATATTTTTATGTCCCTCTTTACACACTTGCTTAATCCTAGAATACATCTAAAATAGTTCTGATTTGCTTTGCCCATACATCTGTAAGAAATAAACCTACTAAACAGAATTCAGGATTTGTTTACTCCCCTCCCCCAAAAACAACAACAACAACAACAACACAACAACAACCCTCAACTGAGATATTTAGTAAAATTTTGTGTTCAAAAGTTACTCAGATTAGTTCTTCTTTTTAAACCCCCTCTAGTGTGGGTGTGGTCTTCATTTGAAATGCAGGTGGGTTCATTTTTAGTTTACTTTTAACATTTAGTTCCCCGCCTCGCATCCTAGTTTAATTTTATTTTGAATATGTAGAGTATCAACATGCTTCCAAAAGTCAAAACTATACAAAAGGGCATATTCTGAAGAAGTGTAGCACATTCCTGAGTCCTTCCACCCTGCTCTTGTCATTTATAGGAAACCAACTTCGTTGCTTTTTGGTTTGTTTGTCCTGTGCTCCTTTTTGTAAAGATAGTAGGTTGTGTATGTTTTCTTATTTCCCTTCTTTTATACAGATGTTAACAAACTATATGCTCTTCTGCACTGTGATTTTTTTTCATTTATTGTGTCCTGGAAAAATCACTTCATACCAGTTTATACACGTGTTTATACATGGTTTTCAACCAATCTTCTATACTTGAGGACATTTATTTTCCAGTAATGCTCCATTCATTAACCTTGTGCACATGTATTTTACATTATTGAAAATGTATCTTCAGGATAAATCCCCACTAGTAGGATTGCTCGGTGTATTAGACAACTTGGGATGCTATAACAGAATACCATAGACCGAGTGGCTTAAACAACAGTTTTATTTTCTCACAGTTCTGGAGGTTAGAAGTCAAGGCCAAGGTACTGCCTGTGTTGGTTTTTGGTGAGACCTTTTTTAAAATTATTTTTATTTTTTAAGAGAGAATATATTTTTTAAAATACATTTTTATTGATTTCAGAGAGGAAGAGAGTGGGAGAGAGAAACATCAATGATGAGAATCATTTATTGGCTGCCTCTGCACGCCCCCTCCTGGGGATTGAGCCCGCAACTTGGGCATGTGCCCTTGACCAGAATCGAACCCAGGACCTTTCAGTCCACAGGCCGGCGCTCTATACACGGAACCAAACCAGTTAGCACTTTTAAAAAAGTTTTCTTTTTTCTTTTTTTTTTTTTTTAATATAGTCCATTGATTTTTTTTTTTTTAGAGAGAGGAAGGGAAAGGGATAGAGAGTTAGAAACGTGGATGAGAGAGAAACATCGATCAGCTACCTCCCGCACACCCCTCACTGGGGATGTGTCCTCAACCAAGGTACATTCCCTTGACCAGAATTGAACCTGGGACCCTTCAGTCTGCAGGCTGACGCTCTAGCCACTGAGCCAAACCGGTTAGGGCAAAAGTTTTATTTTTCAATTACTGTTTACATTCCATATTATTTTATAATAGTTTTAGGTGTACAGCATAGTGGTTAAACAAGTATATATTAATAATTTACAAAGTAGGTCCCTGATATTTCAAGTACTCACCTGGCACCTTACATAATTATTATAATATTATTTACTCTATTCCCTATGCTGTATTTAACACCCCCATGACTCTTCTGTAACTACCAATTTGAACTTCTTAATCCATTCACCTTTTTCACCCATTCCCTGACCCCACACCCCTCTGGCAACCATCAGTCTGTTCTCTGTATCTGTGAGTCTGTTTCTGTTTTGTTTGTTTATTTATGTTGCTCCTTAGATTCCACATGTAAGTGAAATCATATGGTATTTGAAGAGATGACCACTCTTAAACTATTCCATGAATAGCTCTCAGCAGGTTGAGTTATAGGTAACAACTTGCTTCAGGATTGCTTGGATGCTCTTAAAAAGAAAAGGATACACACACATATTTATGTTTAACAGCTTTGTTGGGGTATAGTTTACATACCACAAAAATACACCCATCTTAAGTGTACAATTCAATCATTGTCCCAGCATCATTTGTTGAAGAGACTCTCCTTTCTCCATTAAATTGTCTTGGCATCTTGGTTAAAATTGGTTAATTATATATAAATGTGTGGGTTTATGTCTGGACTCTAAATTTTATTCCTACCACTTGCTTTTGTATGGGCTGAGTTTCTTGTTTTTCTCCCTTTTATAACAGGATCATGGAGTTGATAGCACCATTTTCCAGAATCCCAAAAAACTTCACCTAACTATTGGGATGTTGGTACTTTTAAGTGAGCAAGAGATCCAGCAGACATGTGAGATGCTAAAGCAGTGTAAAGAGGAATTCATTGAGTGAGTAATCCACAGGTGTGGGGAAGGGTGGTCACCTGTACTGGGTTTTTTTGGGCTATCAAAGACTTGTTTTTGGACTAGAGAGCTGGGTTACATGGGAATGAGGTTTGTTGACTCACCCATTTGTAACACTTCACATTGAACCGTTGTCTGAAAGGTTTAAAATGTACTTAAAGCATATATTTACAAATTTTTATGGAAAACCTTTACCTTAAATTATACTCGTTCAGTCGGCAAATTTTGTTTTTTTAATAGGACATGCCATTATTTTCTCCAAAAGGAAATTCTCTTCATTATCCATCAAAGCGTATAGACTACTATGTTAGTTTTCTGTATTACTGTAAGGTTGGTGGCTTAAAACAATATAAATGTACTATATAGTTCTGTGGGGAGAAGTCTGAGATGGGCTTTACTGGGCTAAAATCAAGGTGTGCAGGGTTGTGTTCCTTTCTGGAGGCTCTAGGGAAGAATCTGTTTCCTTGCCTTTCAAGTCCAGCTTCTAGAGGCCACACACATTCCTTGGCTAGTAGTCCCTTCCTCCATATTCAACACTAGCGGCGTTGTATCTCTCTGACCCTTCTGTTGTCACACCTCTCTCTGGCCACAGCAGGCAAAGGCTTCTGCTTCTAAGGACTCATGATTTGATTGAGTCCATTCAGATAATCCAGGATAATCTCTCCATCTCAAACTCCAGAACCTAAATCACATCTGTCAAAGTCTCTGCCGTATAAGACAGCGAATTTACAGATTCCAGATAGTAGGATGTGGCATCTTTGGAGAGCCATTATTCTGCTTCCCATGGTAATTCAACACTATAACTCGGTGATGGCGAACCTATGACACGCGTGTCAGAGGTGACATGCGAACTCATATTTTTGGTTGATTTTTCTTTGTTAAATGGCATTTAAATATATAAAATAAATATCAAAAATATAAGTCTGTTTTACTATGGTTGCAAATATCAAAAATTCCTATATGTGACACGGCACCAGAGTTAAGTTAGGGTTTTTCAAAATGCTGACTCGCCGAGCTCAAAAGGTTCGCCATCACTGCTATAACTTGATTCTCTAGGAAAGTCTTCATTGTATTTCAGAAATGCAGACTTTAATTTTCTTTTTTTAATACAGGTAATTTTGTGTAAATCAGTGTGAGGATACTAAAAGACCATCCAAGCAGATGTTTTTGGCTCAGAGAAAACATTGCAGAGTTGTTATTCTTTTTACTGTAAAATTTTAATTTACACATACATCAACCCAAGGAGCACAACCCTGCCACACCTTGATTTCAGCCCAGTAAAACCCACATTAGCTTTATTTCAAAGACGCATCTCTTCCCACCTCTCACTTTACTCCTTTTACTTAGGATTGCTGAACAACTAGAGAAATTTGAAAACTGACTCACTTAAGCCTGGCCAGAATGGCTCAGTTGGTTGAGCATTGAGGAAGGCAACCGATCCATGTCTGTCTGTCTCTGTCTCTCTGTCTCTTTCTCTCTCTCTCTCTGTCTCTCTCTCACTCCCCCCACAGACCCCTTGGGTGAGGATTCAAAAAAAAGAAAGGAACAAAACTGGCTCACTTGAATAGTTTTTAAAAATTTGTGACAGTAAAAAAATTTGTGACAATATTCAGGTCCCATACTATTGTATCATTGCCTTGTAGAAATGGGTTATCTGGTTCATGGGGTGAAACAAGGTAAAAAAATTAAAAATTTTCCTCTAGTTATGTTGTATATAAAACTGTTTAATACAAAGACTTAATTTGTGGGCCTCTTCTCCTTTTCCATTGTTTTGAAGACAAAATTCTGTTTTTGAGCAAAATCATAAGCTGATTGGGTTTACAGTCTGTTTATTCTTTCTGAATCTCAAATAGCAAGTAATACTTTTGTCTTGTTTGTTCAGTAAGGAACATAACTGTCTTTTCTCAATCTTACCTGAAACTCAGAATAATTTGGTGTTTGTATTTAGGTATGTATAACTTTCCTTGCAAAAAAGAGAAAACTTTATGCTTTACCTTACAAAGCAGAGCGATTTTACCTGGTTTAAGAATGAGTTCTGATACCTTAACTAATACCCTGGTTCCTTTTTGCTAAACAAAACTGAAAGCAGCTGCATTTCTTGGCTACCATTGGAAGAATCCTGTAAAAATTTTTTAAGGTGGATAAAATATTTGTTTAGAGAAGTATTTTTTTAACCTTATGAAAAATCACTTCACCACGTGTGAGAATGTAGCCATCTGCAATCCAGAGAATTCTCACCAAATCGGCAGAACCTTTATCTTGACTTCCCAGCCTCCATATCTGTGAGAGTAAATGTCTGTTGTTTCAGCCACCAAGTGTCTGGTATTTTGATGACAGACTGAGCAGATTAAGATATTGCAGCAGCTGTGTTTTCCTCACTGAACCAATTTTTTACTTTTTGCCTATTGTTCCTGATTATATGGCACTGAATCTGATTGTCTCAGAATCCTGGAGTTTCCACAAGACACCAAACACTCATTAAATAAACTTTCTTCTTAAATGAATAAAAAATGGGGTCACAGGTTTTTAATCACTGAGGTTTTATCCTGAGCTCTGTGAGGATTTAGCTGAGCTCCTCCTTTTTTGTCTCTTGCTGCCTTTTGTGACTAAAGGCCAAATCTAAGCCCTTTAAGCATGTTGGGGTTGATGTGCATAGGCAATGAAGATCAGCTTTAATAGTTCCTAAGAATTTTTGACATGACAGGATGAAAACAGTAATTGTAGTTTTTCAAATTCAGCAACGCTTTTGAAATAGGACAAAGTTACCCTGCCAAAAATCTGCAATGCAGGCAAAAAATTTTGAACATGCTCTTTTCAAGAAGCTGGAAAGATTTGAAATCAGCAAGTAAAACAAGCCTCTCCGACCCTCTTCTCCCCCATGGTTCCCTCTGCCATACACACTTGTTTAGAAAGTATACAATGCAAAATTAATTTATTTCTGAGAAGGAGGACGAGAATCAGAATTGGTTGTTTTGATTGGTTAGAAGTGCTTTGTTCTCATAAAAGGAAGAAATCTCTCTTTAAAAAAAGCTTATATTACAGGTCTAGTAAATAAAATGTATCATCTAACCTTTTTTTTTTTATTTTTGCTCTTTGATGTTAGCCTTTATACTTCAGTAAACAATGACATTTCTAAGCTGAACTTTTTATGATGTAGAGATCTCAAAATATAAAAAATAAAAACATTGAAAATGAATAGATCAGTGTATAATTTGCTGTCGTTTAATTTGATGGCTTTTAAAATTAAAGTATTAAATATATATGGTTATATTGGAATTTAATTAAAACTGTGGTACTATATAGGTATTTTAAAGAAATGGATGGTTGAATATTTGTTTTAAATTTGGTGGTAGTTTGAGTTTAAGGATGCTACCTGATGAGAAATAACTTTGATTTTAATTGTTAGGCTAAAGATTCGTGTAGCTATTTAGAATTATTCACAGTGAATTATTTACAGTGTCCAGGAAACACTGAAGCTCTGAATGTGTCCCTTGTGACTTTTCTTTGTGAGATATAGAGCGCAAACAGTGCAATGGCTCTGAGTATATAGTCCAACAAATAGGCAGCATTCTGTAGCTCCAGCGTCATTCTACTTGTTCCTAAGTGTTCCCAGTAGGCCTGAGGTTAAACCAAATAAGTTAAAAAGGGACAAGAATGAGGAGAGAAGAGGAGGAAAAATACCCATGGGCAAATGTTAGTTCCTAATTATTGCCTCAGATGTCACTGAATTGAAAAATGTGCTTACTGGTATTCCACGTGGAATAGTTTGGTCACCAAGACCAAGAGCATTTATCAGGCAAACCATTGGATTTCTCTTCTGTTCTTTAATCTCTCTCTTGATAAATCCTAGGGATAGGTTGAAAGAGTTTCAGTTTTTACTCATAAGGCAGGCTGTAGATCCTGCTTCAATTTTTTTTTTTTTTTTTTTGTTCTTGGTATCTCTTCTCATTCCAAGGATTTGAGATCCTTCATAGTGAGGACATATATACAAAAGAAATGTTAAAGTCAGAGAGCTCAGAAACCATAGAGGTGGAATGGGGAGAAAATTCTACCTGAAAACCAAGGTAAGGTAACTGTTCTTGAGCATTAAAATTTAATGCTGTTTTTGAGCACCAGTATACTTCAACTAAATTCCAGAAAGAAACACAGCAGTTATTATAGTCCTTTTTTTTTTTTTTAATCCTCACATGAGGATATTTTTCCATTGATTTTTATAGAGAGTGGAAGAGAGGAGGAAAGACAGAGAGAAATATTGATGTGAGAGAAACACATTTATCAGTTGCCTCATGCCCTGACCAGGGCCCAGGCCTGGGAGAAGCCTGTAACCAACTGCACATGCCCTTGACTGCAATCTAATCCAGGAACCTTCAGTCTGCAGGCCAGTGCTCTATCCACAGAGCCAAACCTGCTAGGGCTATAGTTCTTATCTGATAAAAAGGAGCATAGCAACTTTTTAGGAGAGAATTTTTTCTGGTTCTAAAGTCAAGAGAAAAACTAGTTGCATAAATCTTAACATAAATAACCCAGAATGATGATAAGCATTATTATTAACAGTTTTCCAGAAGATATAAGAACATTGTTCACATTGCTTTTTCTTGTATTGACCTTTAGAAGTTGAGGATATAATCTTCTTATATAAAAGGCTAATATGAAAAGTGTCCCCTTGGGAGTTCGACCGGGAGTTCAATCGCTTGCTATGACATGCGCTGACCACTTGGGGGTGGCATGGAATGAAGGAAGGCCCCAGCTGGCAGCCTGCAGCCAGGCAAGGAAGGCCCTGGCTGGTGGCTGGCAGCTGGAAAGAAGGCCCCTAATTGCTGGCCAGGCCTAGGGACCCTACCCATGCATGAATTTCATGCACCAGGCCTCTAGTCTATACTAATAGAGGAATATGCAAATTTTCTGGGACGCAGTCACAGTAACAGTAACGACTGAACAGCAGGCTGTGTGGTGCAACCATGCCGGCAGGGGCATTAGTGAGGGACGACCAAACTGAATAAGCAGGCTGTGTGGGGCGACCAGTCCCCACCCCCTGCCATGTTCTGCATCGGCACCTGGTGGTCAGCACATGTCTAACTCCCAGTCAGTCGAACTCCTGCCTGTGGGGACAATTTGCATATTAGTCTTTATTATATAGGATACCGATGATAAAGTTTAGTTTATAAATTAGGCACTGTTAGAGAATATCAACAGTCTATACTAATAAAAGGGTAATATGCTAATTAGACCGTATAGACCAGACTTCTTCCGGACAAAGCCATGGTGGTGGGGCTGAGGCAGAGGCCATTAGGGGCAATCAGGCAGGCAGGCAGAGTGGTTAGGGGGGATCAGGCAGGCAGGCAGGTGAGCAATTAGGGGCAATGAGGCAGGCAGGCAGAGGGGTTAGGGGCGAACAAGCAGGCAGACAGGTGAGCGGTTAGGAGCCAGCAGTCCCGGATTGTGAGTTGGACATCCCCTGAGGGGTCCCGGATTGGAGAGGGTGCAGGCTGGGCTGAGGGGACCCCTCACCCATGCGTGAATTTCATGCACCAGGCCTCTAGTATTAAATATTAATAACCTAGTGAGGACATTTTAGTGGGAAACTAAACTAAAGATATGGTGCTTTCTGGTGATCTGACTGTGCAGGGTTAAAGCTGAAAAATGTAGAGGAATATATGGTTAGTATTAAACTGTTTTAAGAAAAAAGTTTTGTTAACTGCAGCTTGATAGGATTAAATGGCAGTCTTTCATTTGAATTCTTTGACTATTACTTGGAATGGAGATACACTGGATTATTGATTGAAGCTACAAGCCTCAGATAATAGTTCAGGGATTGGCTTGTGTTTCTGGAATATCCCACTTATTAGAGGTACTTATAGGATACTTATGGTCAAGGCTGTCATTTTTCTCTTTCAAATATCTGTCTAGAGTAGTTCAATTATTTAATTTCTTATTGAGATAAATTCTGGTCTTATGTAATAATATGGCCTTGAAGTTTTAAATGAATCTTTACCATTGGGATTCCTAGACTACAAATAGTGTTTTATGGCTTTAATTCAATATCATCAAGAGAACTTTTTTGTTTTGTCTTTTGGTGCATCCTAGCAGCCTTTTGTCTTTGAGTCAGTACCACATTTTATTCAATAATAATATCATATTGTCCACATTCTTCTCAAAATTGTCTAGAACAGCTTCTCCCCTTATAGTAGAACATCCAGTCAGTGTTTATCAGAGATTTATGGAATACCTATTTTATGTAAAGCACTGTGCCAGGTGCTGGAGATATAGGAGTGGACAAGATGGATGGAGTCCCTGGCCTCCTGGGCTTGGAGAAGGCTGTGTGTGGTGAGCTGATTTTTAGTTGGGTTTTAGTCTGGCACAGGAAGGCCTTCTCTGGTTGAAGTATAAGTCTATTTAAGGGTCTGGGAAAAAAGCAGGGTGGTGGGCTTCACTTAGCATGAAAGTAATACATGTTAGTTTAAGGAGTTAAGACAAATGTAACCACACCCAAATCAAGATGTAGAACATTGTCATCACCTCATGAAGTTCCTTCGTGCTTCATCCTTTTCCAGTAAATTCACTTATTTGAGGAGTAACTACCGTTCTGATTTCTATTACCATAGGTTAATCTGCCTTGTCCTTTAATGTCATATATATTGAATCATCCTGTCTAATAAAAGGGTACTATGCAAATTAACCATCACTCTCTCACAAAGATGGCGGCATCCATAGCCACAAGATGGCGGCACCCAGTCCCCTCAGCCCCGCCAGAGTACCCCAGTCCTTGGGGGGGCGACCACTGAGAGCGGGAAGCGTGAGCAGCTTGGTGGAATGCTTGCTTTGTCACCGTGGCAATGAGGCAAGCGTTCCACCCCGCTGCGGAGAGCCTCTGGGCCGCGGAGAGCCTCTGGGCAGCGGGAGCGGAGTGGCCAGGCCCTGCAGAGAGCAGAGAACCATGGGGAGTGGACCTAAGCCGTCAGGCTCCCACATTGGAGAGGGCTCTCCTGAGGGCTCTCAGATTGGAGAGGGTGCAGGTCGGGCTGAGGGACCCACCCCCTGTGCACGAATTTCATGCACCTGGCCTCTAGTTTGGTATATAAACTTTTTGTGTTTGACTTCTTATGCATATTTTTAAAAATGTTAGCTTTTTAATAGAGTACATTTACATGGTTCAAAAATTTAAAGGTACAAAGGATAAGCATTGAAGAGTTTTCTGCCCACTTCTTCCCATTGCTATCCCATCAAGCACCCTGCTATACTCTTTAAAGGAAACAGATGTTAGCAATGTCTTTGTTTATTTCCAGAGATTTTACGTATGTACAAGAAATATATATGTGTATGTATATATACTAGAGGCCTGGTGCACGAAATTTGTGCATGGGGGGGGGCATCTCTCAGCCCAACCTGCACCCTCTCCAGTCCAGAACCCCTCGGGGGATGTCTGACTTCCGATTTAGCTGTCTGGTCTAATTAGCATATTACGCTTTTATTAGTATAGAGTTTCTTATCCCCATCGTTTTCATGAATAGTAGTATATACATTGATGTGTACTTTTTAAAAATATATATTTTTATTGATTTCAGAGAGGAAGGGAGAGGGGAGAGAGAGAGAGATAGAAGCATCAATGATGAGATAGAATCATTGATTGGCTGCCTCCTGCACACCCCCTACTGGGGATCGAGTCTATAACCCAGGCATGTGCCCTTGACTGGAATCAAACCTGGGACCCTTCATTCTGCAGGCCGTTGCTCTATCCACTGAACCAAACCAGCTAGTGCCTTTTTTAAAACTTAAAATATAATCATTATGTATCAGTACCTGAAAAGCTTCCTTAGCTTTGAATGGCTTATTTATTGCTCATAGTATTTTGATTTATGTCATCAGTCCTATGTTATTGGACATTTAGCCTGTTGCCAGTCTTTTGCTACTCCAAACAATGCATCAGTCAACCCTATTGCATCATATCAGGAGGCACATATTGTTTGGCCTTTTCTTTTTTGTGTGTATGATAAGCTTGATCAGTCAATTTGAGAGTGATCAGCCTGATCCATTGTTTAGAGGGGTCTCTTTATATTTTCTCCAGCCTTTTGTCTAAGTTTTAGCATCCATTGGTGAGCTTGCGTAGATCCATTGTTTTATCTGGAGTTGCAAAATGGTGATACTCTAATTCCGTCATTGCTTCTGCATTTTTCAGTTGGAATTCTGTAAAGAACTGTTCTTTATCAGCTATCATTGCATATGTAGCTGAATTCATAATTATTTCATTAGGGTTAGTTCCTATAAATTGAGTTGACTGGGCAAGGGGTTTCTTTTATTGAAGATTTTTTATAAACATTGTCAAATTGCACTTAAAGATGTGCTGTTAGCTTTTACACTCCATCATTGTTATATGAGTGAAATACTGTGCAACTTATAGAAATAATGATGTAAAACCTCAGAGATGGTCAACACATCAGTTGTCTTTGTCAATCAGAACTATCATTGCTTGCCTTTTTCTTAGAATGCTTTTCAGTATGACTTTGGAAATACTAGTGTTTCTAGTCTGTGTGCATTAAACATGTATTAATTTTGAAATTAGAAGGATGGTTAAATAATGTTAGTAAAAAAAACCAACAACTTAATTTTTGTAGTTTTACTATGTATATTAACCATGTTTTAAAATATATAAATAATTATAAAAATCTAATGGTTTTTCCTTTACAGCGACATTTCTGGGGGCAAACCCCTAGAAGTAGAGATGGAAGGGATAGAATACATGAACGATGATCCTGGCATGGTGGATGTTCTTTATGCCAAAGTTCATATGAAAGATGGCTCCAACAGGTATGTTTCTGGAACACTTCTTTGTTTTAGTCAGGAGCTGCCTAAAGGCATCCCTGGAAGTTCAGCTACTTTTGATTCCTTTTCTTTAAGATCTTATTATTGCAAAGAGTGTGTTAATTCTTCTTTTTTTAACAGAGAGCTGATAAGTTGAAAGAGGAATTTGTTGTAGGAAAAAGTATTTTAGTCTGATAATTATGAGATTACTTGGATGGTAGATATTGACAGTAGCAATCTAGTTTTTATGGAACTCAGTGCTTCCTTCATGCATTCCAGGATAATGGGAGGCAGGAAGGGTGGCATTTTAGGTTGTTAGTTACAGAAGTGAAATAATGCAGATGTAGTGAATACCCAGGCAAAATGGGGATAATAACTATATAAATTTCATAAGATTATTAGGATTGAATTAATCTATATAAAATGCTTTAAGATAGTGGTTGGCATATATACTCACTAATCAAAACATACATCAACAAATGTTTAACCTTGGCTGTTGTGGCTCAGTTTGTTGGAGTGTAGTCCGGTACACCGAAAGGTGGTGAGTTCAATCCCTAGTCAAGGCATGATTGGGAAGGCAACTGATAAATATTTCTCTTTCATATCGATGTTTCTCTCTCTTTTTTCTTCTCTCTGAAATAAATAAGCAGGCCTGGGGTGAAGATTAAAAAAAAGTTTATGCCCTAGCGGGTTTGGCTCAGTGGATAGAGCATGGCCTGTGGACTGAAGAGTCCCGGGTTCAATTCTGGTCAGTGGCACATGCGCAGGTTGTAGACTTGATCTCCAGTAGGGGATGTGTAGGAGGCAGCCAATCAATGATTCTCTCTCATCATTGATGTTTCTATCTCTCCCTTTCCCTGCCTTTCTGACTATAAAAAAATATTTTTAAAAAAGTACTATTTTTTATTTCTGTTTATTACCACACCTGCAATCCAAGCTATTTCTGAGGCTATACTAGGCATCCAGAGCCATTGCAGGTCTTTGGTGAACAGAGGAACCCAACTTGAATTAGTTTTTTTGAGTGTGATCTTTTCATTAAGGTAACTTAGAACAGAGCTCACACTGAACCAGAAACCATCTAAAGCAGTGATGGCAAACTTTTTGAGCTCGGCGTGTCAGCATTTTGAAAAACCCTAACTTAACTCCAGTGCCGTATCACATATAGAAATTTTTTGATATTTGCAACCATAGTAAAACAAAGACATATTGTTGATATTTATTTTATATATTTAAATGCCATTTAACAAAGAAAAATCAACCGAAAAAATGAGTTCGTGTGTCACCTCTGACACGCGTGTCATAGGTTCGCCATCACTGGTCTAGAGATGTGGCTTCTTTCATTCTGCATAATGTCGTCAAGAATAATTCATGTTGTAGCAAGTATCAATACTTCGTTTCCTTTTTTTAATATATAGTTTTTAAAAAATTTATTTCAGAGAGGAAGGGAGAAGGAGAGACAGATAGTAAACATCAATGATGAGAGAGAATCATTGATCTGTTGCCTCCTGCATGCTCCCCCCTGGGAATTGAGCTTGCAGCCCAGGCAAGTCCCCACACAGGGAATCGAACCTTGACCTTCTGGTTCATAGGTTGATGTTCAACCCCTGAGCTAAGCTGGCCAGGCAATAGTTCATTTCTTTTTATGGCTGAGTAGTATTTCATTGTGTGGAAATACTTTTGTTCATCAGTTGATAGACATTTGGGTTGGTTCTACCTTTTGGTTATTTAAATAGAACTGTTTTCAATTCTTTTGGGCTGACTCACTTTTTAAATGATTAAAGTCATGGTTTTAATTCCCTTGATTAACCTTGTAATTTTATAGGGCATCATAGTCACTCAGCCTGACTGCTGTTAATTTGTTTTGTTATCCTCTATTATGGGATTTACTTAATTTTTGTCAGTACTAGTATAAACTTTATTATTGTAAGACTAATATCTGTGATAGTCTTATTGACATGCAGTTAACAGGAAGCTATATATGAAAAATATACATGGAATTACAGTGTTTCATGAAATAAACTAGTGAATATTTCGTAATGTAGGCCTTCAAGTCTGTTTTTTATTTTTATTTTTCCCTCTTCTTCCCTCCCACTCCCACCCATTCCCCTTCCCCACCCTCTCCCTTCCCAGCCCCCTCCTTTCCCTGCCTCCTCCCCATCTTCCCTCCCTCTCCTCTCCTCTCCCCTGCTCAACCACTCTGCTTCACCTTTTATTTTGGCCCCCACTTTGAAGGCCACCCTGCTCTCCTGTACCAAACCCTGGTTCTTATCTCTGTCCCCTAGGCCAGTATAGAAACTGGAACAGAATGTTCCCGTGTCTCTGGGCCCCTTCTCTGCCTACCTTGGTTAAGGACCTAAGTTGAGACTCCCCCATAAGGATTCTGGCTTGTCTCTGAAAACAGAGCCCTGGATGGTCCTCACTTGTCCTTTGCCTGAATGCTCCTGAGGTGGAGGCTCAGAGGGGCGGCTTTTCCTGGCTGCTCTTCAGGTCTGTTTAGCATACATGTCATAGACTCTATAGTTTAATCCTATTCTTGTTGGCCCCCACAGGGAAAAAGAGTGGTCACTGAAAAAGGATGATAAAATCATTGCCTTGAGTGTTCCCAATGGATATGTTTACCTTTTGCTTTTAATAGTTAGACCCTTAGTTCTATGAAAGGTCTTCAAGTGTAGAGAATCAATAGGTTCTTGAGATTTGTTAACCTAAAAATCAAAGCGAGGTTCAATAAGCATTTTTTTGAGATCCAAAAGAAGAGCTACTTGGGAAGCACTGATTCAGGCAGAAACCCGAATAGTTCCAGATAAGGAAGGCAAGGGAAAGGACAACAATTACAGCAATTACGTCAGTAGAAGGAAGACGTTCTGTAGGTGCAGATAAGCTAACATAGTGATACTAATTCTAAAGAGTGTTTAATTTTCAGTCCAGTAGTTATAATATATGCTTTCTTGTTATCTTTGCAAATAGTTGTTGAGGGTGTAATGTTGCTTTAGGCTCACTCCAAAGGTTATTTTGCAGTTTTAACATTCCAGAGGTTTGAGGAGTAAGATGTGCAAGGCAATTCCTCTGGATGGTGGTAGCTCTGACTCCGTTTTAAAGTGGCTCCATTTATATTATGCTAGAGGCCGTTAGGGTCAATTTGCATATTACCCTTTTATTATATAGGACTTTTTTTTTATAGATTGGAAGGAAACTAAGTGCTATAGAAGTTAAATGTCTTTTGAAGACAGTGCTCAGACATAATTTGTACCCACATTAATGGAAGGCTAAGAGCTCAGAAGGTTGAAAACACCCTTTATTTTTTCTACAGATCCAGCTGTTACAAATTTTGCACACTTCCTGTTGTCAAGGCCTTGTAAGTTGAAAGGTCTTGTGAAATGTTTGTTCAGTGAATTGTTATCAATGAACATTTTGGAGTAATTCCCATCTCTCTTTCCCATTTTCTCTTTTCTATTGCTCATCCCTCCTTCATAGGAGTCACGTTTATGTTACTTAAAAAAGATTTATAGGCCCTGATCGGTTTGGCTCAGTGGATAGAGCGTCAGCCTGCAGACTCAAGGGTCCCAGGTTCGATTCCGGTCAAGGGCATGTACCTTGGTTGCAGGCATATCCCCAGTAGGAGGCATGCAAGAGGCAGCTGATCGATGTTTCTCTCTCAAAGATGTTTCTAACTCTCTGTCCCTCTCCCCTCCTTTCTGTAAAAAATCAATAAAATATATTAAAAAAAAAGATTATAAATTCCCCTCCCTAAATCTGTAGTATCTGAGGGACTTGTACACCTCTTATTTAATTCAGTATTAAAACTATTCAAATGCCTTCTTTGTGCAAAGTATTTTGCAAGGCCATATAAATTGATACAGAATTGAGTAAGACATGACCCTGTTTTTAAGAAATGTTTCAGTCTTTAGCATTTCTTTATGTGAAGAGACACAGCAAAATATAAGAGGCATGAGGGAGAGACCATGTTGTAATGAAAATACAAACACTCAACTTTCTTTGAGTGCTTTCATATATTTTAATTAAAAGATTCCCTTAAAATGATGTACTGTTAAGTACCTGATCAGATTTTTTCCTTTGGAAACAGCTGGGACAGTGTAGCTACACTTATTGATGCATCCTTGGGTTTGGTAAAGCATGACTGGAGAAGGCGTCTGTATTCAACCTTTTACTCATTATTTAGTAGTCTGCTATTGCTAAGATTTAATTGTTGAACAAAGTGGCTATTCTGTTCTGTTCTGTTACTCTCTCAAGACTCCACTCTTGCCCCTCAGAAGAATGGCTTTCTCACACTTTACTGAGCACATGAAGCTAGTTCATCAAGCTCCTTACTTTTTCCTTCACAATCTACCTATTTTCATCATACCCACCCCGACTCAATTTCACTTTCTTTCTGAAGAATGGCACACATTATTTCTGATGAGGCTAATCCCTTTACTTAGTCTCCTTCCTAACAAGAAGGAATGACCCTATCCCTTATCTCCTCAGGGACCTAGCACCATCCGTTATTTTACCCTAAAGGACATTTCCAGCCCCCTTTTCCCGTAGGTACTTTTCTAATGCCCTGTATGTGAGGTGCAAGACAGAGTAGGGCTCTGTCTTGAGGAAGAGGCAGATGCAAGTAATTAGGGTACACTTGGGTAAAGGCTATAATTGAGGTTCTAGGGGTGCATAGGTAGGCAGCAAAACTCTTGTCCATGGGCAGATTTTGTAAAGAAAGGCTTCAGAAGAACTTCCTGAATAAGGATTTGCAAGCTGAGGGAGCAACATTTAGGAAAAGGGGATAGATAGCAAGTGCAGCTCTAGAGGCGCTGTTAATGCCATGTAAAGGAAGTTGGGTTTTCATTTGATCATTTGTTTATTTAACAAAAAATTATTGAATGCCCGCTTCGTGCCAGGCACTGTGCTAGGCTTTGAATATAGAACGGAATAAAGCCAGACACAGCCATTGTCCCCATGTAGTTTACAGATTAGTGGAGAAAGCAGATGTTAACAAATAGCAAATATGTAAC